GCTATTCCTTTCTTTTCTTCGATGTAGAGAGTGAAGGGTTTTTCTACATCTGGGAGTGCCAAGGCCGGGGCAGATAGCAGTGCCTTTTTGATATTATCAAAAGCCTGTTGGTGTTCAGGGGTCCATTGGAATTGGGCATCCCCCTTTATCAATGGGTATAGAGGGGCTGCCAAAGACGCAAACCCAGGAATCCATAACCTACAAAAGCCGGCAGTCCCAAGAAACTCTCTGAGCTGTCTCTTATCAGATGGGGGCGGTATCTGCACAACAGTTCGTTTTCTAGGCTCAGTAAGCCATCCTTTGCCACCCCTAAGAGAATAACCCAGGAAGATTACTTCTTGTTGACAAATTTGGGCCTTTTTGGCAGAAGCCCTATATCCAAGCTGAGCAAGCTCAGATAATAGTGCTTGTGTCCCAGACTCACAGTTCTCCTTGGTGTTGGCTGCCAGCAGAAGATCATCCACATATTGGAGTAGGGTGACTTCGAGGTGTGTAATTCTGAAGTTGTTGAGGTCCTTGTGGAGAGCTTCATCAAAGAGAGTGGGGGAGTTTTTGAACCCCTGTGGGAGTCTAGTCCAGGTTAGTTGGCCAGATGTTCCTATTTCTGGGTCTATCCATTCGAAAGCAAACAACAACTGACTGTCCTTATGTAGGGGCAAGCAGAAGAAAGCATCTTTTAAGTCCAGCACAGTGTACCATATCCGCTCCGGATTCAGAGTGCTAAGCAAATTATATGGATTAGGCACCGTGGGGTGAATGTCCTGCACTCTGTTGTTGATCTCTCTCAGGTCTTGAACAGGATGGTAGTCCCCAGTTCCTGGCTTTCTTACTGGTAACAGGGGGGTATTCCAGGCCGATTGACAGGGCCTTAGGACCCCAAGAGCCAGGTATTTCTGAATATGGGATCTTATCCCATCCCTAGCTTCTTTGCTTAGAGGATATTGTTTAACACTGATTGGAGAGGCAGAGGCTTTTAATTCTACTACTATTGGAGGTTGTCTTATGGCCAGACCTAACCCAGAAGTTTCTGCCCAGGTATCAGGATAATCTTTTATCTATCTCTGGGGTAGTCTACCTGTTTGATCGGATCCAGGGGCCGTGAAGAGTTGATGTTAATCTTCTACTGACATAGTCAGAGCCGTGACTATGGGGGTCTTTACTAAAGGGTTTAGAAACTCCACTTGGGGACCATCAGGGTTAAAGGTTATTTTAGCCCGGAGCTTGGTGAGTAGGTCCCTGCCCATTAATGGGGCCGGGCATTCTGGGATTACTAGGAAAGAATGGTGGACTTTTCCCCTTCCTAGGTCCATTGTCCTCTTTATTGTCCAAGCCCAATATTTACTGCCATTAGCCCCTTGAACTAAGGATCTTTTATTAGATAGAGGGCCCAGTGGGGCCTTGAGGGCTGAATATACTGTTCCTGTATCTACTTCAAAGTTCTCTGGGATCCCCTCCACTTCAAAAGTTACCCTGAGCTCGGGGAGGGGATCCGAGCCCCGACTTTCCTAGTCATCTTCTAGAGTCAGCATGGCTGGCTGGTGTAACTGCTTCTTTTTGGGGCACTCTTTGGCCCAGTGTCCTTTTTCTTTACAGTAGGCACATTGATCTGAGGCCAGGGACAGCCTTTGGCATGGGCCCAGGTATCTCTTCCTGTCTCCCTGCTTTCTAACTTCTGGCCTATCTGTGGCTGTGACCAGGACCTTAGCCAATGCTTTAGTCTGCCTTATGTTTCTCTCATCTTCCCTGTGTTCCCTTTCCTTCTCCTTTCTCTGTTCCTTCTCTTCCTCAGTTTCTCTCTTATAATATACTTTCTCAGCCTCTCTGACTAAATCTCTTAAGGTCAAATCTTATAGTCCATCTAAACGTTGTAACTTTCTCTTAATATCTAGGGCAGCCTGCCCAATAAAAGCCATTGCAACGGATGCCTTTTGGTCCTCTGCCTGAGGATCAAAGGGAGTGTATCTCCTATATGCTTCCATAATTCTCTCCAGAAACATGGAGGGAGATTCATTGGGTCCCTGAATAATCTCTCTTACCTTGGCCAAATTAGTTGGCCGCCTAGCGGCCACTAGGACACCCACTACAAAAGCCTGGTTGTAGGTGGACAGATGCTCCCTACCTTCAAAGGTGTTAGGGTCCCAGTTGGGTCGGTTTAAGGGGAAGCCAGCTTCAATGATGTTAGGAAGTTGGGTTGGTCTCCCATCTGGTCCAAGAATATTCTTTCTGGCTTCCAAGAGGATTCTCTCCCGTTTCTCTGTTGTGAAGAGAGTCCCCAGAAGCTGTTGGCAGTCATCCCAAGTGGGCTGGTGTGAGAACATCAGCGACTCAACTAAACCTGTAAGCCGGGTGGGGTCCTCAGAAAAAGGGGGATTGTTATTTTTCCAGATGTATAGATCTGAGGAGGAGAAAGGCCAGTATTGGTAAGCCTGCATCTCTCCCCCATGCCCATCATTTATTGTGGGCCCATAGGGACGAAGAGGAAGCATCACAGGGGCTTCCGAGTTCTCCATTATCCGCCACCTGCGGGTTCCTTTAGCCGGTCCAGGTTCTTCTGGTGGGGGAGGGGCTGCTGCTGCTGCTGCTGCCATTGCCACTGCTGTGGGGAAGTCCCCGGGAGGGCTTGGATCTGACCCAATCACCTCTAGCGGTGAGGCGACCAAGTCAGTGGCAAGAGGGTCACCTAAGACAAATTGGGGGTTTGGGAGCATGGGTAGAGGATAAGGAGGTGTGGGTGGAGTCCAGTAAAGTTAAATCCTGTGACTCAGGGAGAACAGAGGGACGAGGGGGAGGATCGGAAGGTTTGAGTGATAGGATCGTGGGGGAAGAGATTGGAACAGGAGTTGGGACAAGGAAAGGCTTCACCCATATGGGAGGAAACTCACAGAGGTCCTGCCAGGTTAAAACATATGGCTGTTGATCTGGATGGCCATGCGGCCCTGGCTGAAAGACAGTATCTCTGACTTTACGGATTAAAGGGAGGTGGAAGGACCCTCCTGGGGGCCATTCAACTCCGAGGGTGGGCCATTCTGAAGCGTAGAGTGTCTGCCAGGTCCGGCGTTTCACTGAAAAAGAAAGATTTTTGGCCCTTGAACGGACATCCGTCCAATGATCAAGAGTCAGGGACAGAGGCATGGAATGGCTTTGTCCCATACTGGGAGTTACTTGAACAAAGACAGGGACAAGACAATACAAATGAGACACAAACACGGACACACAGTAAACGTTTAACACAAGTTTAGAAGCAAAAATTAAAGACAGACAGTCGACTTAACCTGAGGAAAAAGAATAGCCAGCAAAGCCAGAAGAGTTGGCAGCAGAGTACACCCGACAAGGGCTCTTCCGTCCCTCTACCTGATGGGGGGCACTTCTGACCCCCCCGAGTCCCCCAAGGCGTCCCTTGGGGGGTGTTCTGTAGCTTCAGGACACGTCTGTCTGCCACTGCCAGGGGGAGCTCACGTTCTCCGCTGGCAGCCACACACTGCCAACCCAAACCAAAGCTCTGAGAGCTCACGCTCTCCATTGAGCCAGAAACCAAACCTGAGCGATCGCAAAGGAAGAACAAGAAGGAAAAGAAGGAGGAGAGAGGCGCCTTACTTACCCCCTAAAGCAGTCCGTTGGGGTCTCCCTATGCGGCGATGCGCAGTTCCCGGCCAATGCACCAAATGTAAGGGTCCGGTGAAAAGTCGGAGAAAGAGACGACCAAGAGACTGACTTATACAAATGCAGAAGGGGATTTATTGAGGATCCAATTCAGCGTGCTGAGGCTCTAGGCTCACTCAAGAAGCGAGAGCAGCCCAGAGCCCAGAGCAGAGGTTAAGCAGTGCTTAAGTACACTTTTTGGGGGAGGGCGGGGGCTTTGAATACATCAGAACAAATCAGCATGAGGCATGGGAAAATTGAACAACAACTCTCATACATGATTAGCATATTCATTGGCGGGAACAGGTCGGGCGGGGGTGATTGGTCACTCCTAAGCGGGGTACACAAACTGATTGGTTCGGGCCCTGTATGCTTACGTGACAAACTGCACAGGGCCCTAGGCGAAATGGCCGGTAGGGCGTTGTCTTTAACTATCTCAGGAATTTCAGGTTCTGGGTGTAGCAGAGGAACTTTATGATGCCCAGTCTTTTACTTTTTTTTTTTTTTTTTTTTTTTTAAGTTTTTGGCGGACACAACATCTTTGTTTGTATGTGGTGCTGAGGATCGAACCCGGGCCTCACGCATGCGAGGCGAGCGCACTACCGCTTGAGCCACATCCCCAGCCCCAGTCTTTTACATTTTAATTCAGGCTTTGCAGCTTAGAAACTTTACCATTTCAAGGCAAGCACTCTACCACTGAGCTACAGTCTCAGCCCCCCAAATACATTTTGATTCACATGATTTTAGTAAAATCTGTGATAAGTAACTTAAAATTGTTTGTAATAAGAATGCCTTTAAAGTCTAGTAACTCATTTTTCTGCTAGGAAGATGGAAGAGTACAGAAAGGAAGCACAGCTCAGCAGTTCCTCAGCCCAGACTTATAAAGTGAGAAGACTGCTTCTCAGTGAGGTAGAAACCCTCACTGAATCACAAAACTGAACTGTGGGTGTTTTAGACATAATATTAAATGTTTTCTATATAGTGCTGTGGGAGACAATCATGTCATGTGACCAGTGTTTTTCCTCTCCTGATCAGTTGAGGCACTGTTGGTCATCCCTGACTGCCCATGATCTGGCTACTCTAAAGTTGCTGAAGACAGTAACCCCAATCTTGAGGGTAGAAATAATATAACCAAATGTGTCTTCATGCTTAGGCATGCCTTCCTGCAGCCCCCTGGGTTGAGCTACATTCACCTCTTCCAGTATCAACAATGGCAAGTCACTAAGTAACTCAGTAGGGAAAGAAGCTAGGGATAGCCACCCTGTGCCCTTCAGGATTGACCCTGCATATTAATGGCTCTTTCTAATATTTGTTGATGTTTTGTTGTATTTGGCCAGATTTATTAATATAAAAGCAGCATTCTTCTTTATGTATGGACAAGTCCCACTTTACGCAGAGCAGCAGGGCTAGTGCTCTCCTGTTTTGAAATGATATGTCTGCCAGTGAGTCAAGATGCTCTTATAAGGAGCTTTAGGATCTCTCATTTGGACAAGAGCCAGCAAGTTTCCTGAGAAACCCATATCTGCTATCCAAGAGAGACTTCCACTACTACAGTTCCAATGGCTCCAGTCAGCTCAGGAAGGACCGTAAGAAAAGAGGCCCATTTTGTCAATCAGCCATTGGTAGATGAATTTTCAGTTTCCAAAGTTATGTCCAGTAGGATCTATCTCGGGGAACATAACCCTGTTCATCTATTTGGCAAAATAGATCTAATGTATTACTCTGGATGGAGGCTTCCATGGCTCAATGGAGTAATAGTGTAGGTGGAGATTCCCCTGAAGCGTAAGCCCCAATGCCCCAGAAAAATTTAGCCAGAAATTTCAGTCCCTATGGCTGACCAATAACTGTCATTAAGGGATTAAAGAGAGGGTTTTGTTGTATGATGCTGACTGTTTTATTTTCTAGGAATAGAGATCCCCAGTCAGATGTAAAAAGTAAGGTGGGGATCTTGTCTGAGAATAAGGTTTTACATTGAGTTATGTGGAATTTAACAATTGGGTTATCTTCTGTTGGGCACTCTTTACAGTAAGCCATGGTATTGAGGTTTTTTCCAAAAATTATATTTGGAGGGATGGGCTCCCATGTTAAGATAAGGTTTTTGGCCAGAGTCAGAATAAGAAATGGGGAAAGGTATGGCCCTCTGGAGAAGTAACTCATGTTACAGAGAGAGCAAAGGGCCCTATCCTTAAGAATACAGCCTCAAAAATAGCAGAATCACAAACATAATAGGTCCACAAAGGAAGATAATCCCCCAAACTGGAGCCTACCACAGGTGGGACAGAAGAATTACAGGGGAACCAGAAGACATTCACTTATCTTTTAGATGGCTATTTCTTGAGGAGGAGTCTAAGATCTTCAATTGGTTCACAGAACCAGGTCTTGGCTGACTGATCTGGGATTAGGTCTAGATCTGTGGAGGTAGGAGCAATCTTCATTCCAGTATCCAGCTGCTGATTTGACAATCATAGCAGTGGCTAGGATTACTAGGTAGGGTCCCTTCCACCTAGGTTTTAAGTAGTCCTTATGCGATCCTTCCTTTCAGGTTTTTACTAAAATGTGTTCCCCCAGATGCATACATAGACAGACCTACAGGGCAGGACCTGGAAGGAGCTGATTTCTTAAAGTCTATATGGACAATTAGTATTGTCCTAAATCTGTGATATATTTGATGAGATGGGCTGTCTCAGGATCTGCTATAAGATATTTGGATAGGAAAGGGTGCTCATATAGCATTTCATAGGAACTCATATTTAACCTGGTTCTAGGTATATTTTAAATCTTTATGAGGGCAATGGGTAACATAGTTGGTTACCCAGGTTTCAGGGGTTTCCTGGCAAAATTTTGCTAAGGTACACTTTAGTGTCTTGTTTCCTCTTTCTACCTTTCCTGATAATCGGGGTCTCTAAGCAGAATGTAAATAATAGTTGATTCCTGGAGTCTCAGCTATTCCTTGAATGATCTGAGAGATGAAAGAGGTTCCATTATTACTCTAGAGGCTCTGGGGAAGCCCAAAACCTTGGCATTATTTCCTTTAATAAGGACTTATCTGGGGCTGGGGATGTGGCTCAAGTGGTAGCACGCTCACCTGGCATGCGTGCCGCCCGGGTTCGATCCTCAGCACCACATACCAACAAAGATGTTGTGTCTGCCAAGAACTAAAAAAAACATAAATATTAAAAATTCTCTCTCTCTCTCTCTCTCTCTCTCTCTCTCTCTCTCTCTCTCTCTCTCCTCTCTCACTCTCTCTTTAAAAAAAAGGCCTTAGCCACCTGCATGGCATTTTCATCCCATGTGGGGAAGGATTCAACCCATCCAGTAAAAATATTCACTAGGACCAGTAAACATTTGAAACCTTGGCAGACGAGCATATAGGTGAAATCCAATTGCCAATCCTCTCCTGAATAGGCTCTCCTGTGCTGAAAGAGTTTAATTAGAGGAGCAAGCTTTAGCTTGGGGTTATAAGAACAGAGGGGAAAAGTTTTACAAATTTTTCTCATTGGATCTGTTATGTCACACAAAAATGCTGAGCAGCTAGTCCAAGGGTGACTTCTCTTCCCACATGAAAGGAATCATGTAGGATCTTAAGGGCTTTCCATTGTAGGGGTATAGGTAGGCACAACTGGCTATCCTCTTACCATAAATCCCCATGTCTATGAACTCTGGCCATTAGCAGCAGATTTCTCCTCAGAGGTGTATACTGGAAGACTTTCTTCATGAAAGGGGAACAGGCCATGGCAGAGGTTCTTGCTTCCCTTTGAGCTGCCTTCCTGGTTGCTTGATCAGACTTTTTGTTGTAAATGGACATTTTGACATATCCTTCTGCTGCCCTCAGCAATGGATAATTGTTATTGCCTTGGGGAAGTTTTTTGTCAAAGATTCAGGGTTGTTGACTTGTTAAGAGGCCCCTTTATTCCCATATGGCTGCATGGGCATGAAGCACCATGAAGGCATATCTAGCACAGACACACACATTGCATACCTTATTTTGTCCCTTTATAAGGACTCTAGTTAGGGTAATCAGTTTGGCTTTTGGACTTCTAAAGTCCCTTGGGGGCAGAGGGTTATCCTCTGTGGTTTCATCTAAGCTAACTCGTGCATATACAAGCTCTTTTCTGGTCATTTTAGACAAAACTGCTACCATTTGTAAAACATTCTTCTTTGAGTTAGGGAGGGGTTGATCAGACAAGTTTGGTTAGGTAGCAAAGATCTGAAGAAAAACCTCTTCATCTGAGTGGTCATTTGGGGGGTTGATGGGCATTAAAGAGGCTGAGTTGAGTGTTACAGTTCCTGGACAGTGACCTAAGAATTATCTAGGAGTATTGCCCGGTATTTTGCAAGTCTTTCTTCAGTCACCCACAGTGCCCTTTTCTTCCTAGGATGGCTTTTACCTGATGGGGAGTTTGGACTCAAGAAGCTGTCCTAAGGAATTTTAGTGGCTTCTCCCACTAAGAGAGCCATAGCTATCACTATCAGCAAGCACCCTGGCCACCCTGCTGCCATACCATCTAGTTTCTTTAAGAAGAAAGCCAAGAGTCTAAGTTGTCAGTTGCTCAGGTTTTGAGAAGAAAGAAATGAAAGTTATTCCTAAATCCTTGAGGGAAGACTGCTCACGTATATTATCATCTTTCCTTCATAAAAGGATTTTTCCTATTCAAAAG